AATGGCATCAACAACTTACGTGGAACAGTCTGTGTCTGTTGTTGCTGAATAGCGTTGGAAAGTGTTTTCTTCTTCTTGGGACATAGGTAATGAACTTGATTTAAGTTCTGAGCTCTGTGAAACAACAAATGTGGTGAGATCATCAATGTTGATTGGTTCGGATGTTCTTCATTTTGTTTGGTTTCTGTATCTGGTTGAGTAATCTTTTCTTGTTCTAAGAATTGTTTGATTTGTTTTGGAAAGAAGACCATGTGCAGCTTCTGATGCTTTGCTTGGATCATCGGATTTCTCAAGGCTGGCATGTTCAAGTTTGGACAACTGATTTATTGATGAGATTGTCAACAAGAGATTTGGATGATTCTTCGATTTGTTTGATTTCTTCGAATTGAGCTCTTTGTTTGGATTATCTTCTTTCAACTGCAATTTCTGAAGGATGGCAAGTGTATCGGCTGCACGTGATGCGGATGAGTCGGCAACTTCGTTGATGTGTGGATGATGTTGAATCTCATCTTCATCTTTCTATTATGTTTCAATGCAAGTTGTGCCATTGCACTAACTGAGACTTCTTTGATGATATTCTCGGCATCAATCATCTTTAAATCCATTCATGATATTCTTGATCATACCATCGATTGCATCTTTTGCAATCTTGATAACATTTCTTGTGTCTGAATAGCTTCCATCTCAGCTGTGAGTCCATTGAATATGCGATTAGCTAATATCACTTGCAACTTGTGAAACTTTCTCGTTCTTTTGATGCTTTCTTTTTCAGTTGAATCTGATGTTATGGTTTGATCGATTCATTTTGTATTTCCTCACTAGATTTTTTCTTCTTCTGTTTCTGATTGTTGAATGAATTGTTCAAGATTTTGAGAAGCAAGTTCTTGAACAGCATCAATGAAATCATCTGGAATAACCATCTTCTTCTGAGCAGCAAGCTTTTCTGCGAGCGCTGCTTCTTCTGAACTGAGTGGTGTTTTCATTCATTAGAAACATCAACTGATCTTGAAAGAACAAAGTCTGTGAGATCAGAAAAAACAGTTGGTGTTTCATCATTATTTTCATTGTTAACATCTGATGACTTTGGCTGATTTAAGAAGTTCTTGATTTGTCTAGACAGAATGCCATGAGCGGCTTCTGATGCTTTCTCTGGACTTTCTTCTTTGTCGGTACTGGCTTTCTCAAGCTCTTCAACCGATTTATTGACAAGATTGTTAACAAGTTCTTTAGATGATTGTTCAATTTGTTTCTCTTCCGCTTCATTAAGAACTTTGCCTGGTTTATCTTCCTTAAGTTGAAGTTTCTGAAGTGATGCTAATGTATCAGCAGCACGTAATGCGGTTGTTGTTGCAACATCATTGATATGTGGTTGATATTTTCCTTGTTCGACATTAACTGGATTATGTTTCAATGCTAATTGAGCCATTGCACTGGCTGAGACTTGTTGAATAATGTTTTCGGCATCCTCATCTTTCATATTGTCTATGATGTTCTTAACAATTCTATCAACAGCATCTTTGGCAATTTTAGATAACATCTCATGGGTTTGGATAGCTTCCATTTCTCCTGTGAGACCATTAAAGATTCTGTTTGCAATATCACTTGCAACTTGGGAAACTTTTTCATCAACTTGTGTAGTTGAGGTTGTTTTATCAAGTTCATTGGGAGTTTCATCACTAGATTTTTCTTCTTCTGTTTCTGATTGTTGAATGAATTGTTCAAGATTTTGAGAAGCAAGTTCTTGAACAGCATCAATGAAATCATCTGGAATAACCATCTTCTTCTGAAGAGCAAGCTTTTCTGCGAGTGCTGCTTCTTCTGCACTGAGTGGTGTTTCTTCATTAGAAACATCAACTGATCTTGAAAGAACAAAGTCTGTGAGATCTGAAATATCAGATGGTATTTGGGTTTGAGAATCTATATTAGTTGTTTCGTCTGTGTTTTGTTGATTTATTGTTGAAGGTGATGCTTTTGGTTGTTCTAAGAAGTTCTTGATTTGTCTCGAGAGAATGTCATGAGCAGCCTCTGCGGCTTTGGTTGGATCTTCTTCTTTGTCGGTACTGGCTTTCTCAAGTTCTTCAACAGACTTGTTCACCAGGTTGTTAACAAGTGCTTTGGAGGATTCATCAATCTGTTGAAGTTCATCGTCATTAAGAACTTTGTCTGGTTTGTCTTCCTTAAGTTGTAACTTTTGAAGTGAGGCAAGTGTATCAGCAGCACGTAAGGCGGTTGTTGTGGCAACATCATTGATATGTGGATGATATTTCTCTTGTTCAACATTAACTGGATTGTGCTTGAGTGCAAGTTGTGCCATTGCACTTGCGGAGACTTGTTGAATAATGTTTTCGGCATCTTCATCTTTCATTGCATCTAAAATGTTCTTGATGATCTTATCAAGGGCTTCTTTGGCAACATTGGAAAGTGCTTCGTGGATTTGAAGAGCTTCGATCTCTGGAGATAACCCATTGAATAATCTGTTAGCAATGTCACTTGCAACTGCTGAAACTTTATCTTCTGTTGTCTTCTTGCTTTCTGATTCTGGTTGCTCTGTAACAATTGAATCTTGTTGATCATTATTTTCAGGTGTTTCATTTGTTGGTGATTTACTGGCTGATTCTTTAGATGTAAATTGTTCAAGGTTTTCAGATGCTAGTTCATGGATAGCATCAATAACTTCATCTGGAATTGCTTGAATTTGTTGTTTATGAATAGCTTCTGCAAGTGCAGCTTCTTCAGAACTAAGTGGTGTTTCTTCGGAATCAATATTAGTTGATCTCGAAACAACAAAGTCGGTGAGCTCATCAATGTCAATTGGTAATTGTGCGTCTGAATTTACTTGTGGTTTAGTGGATGGTTGTTTATTCTTTTCGGATTCTAAGAAGTTCTTGATTTGTTTGGATAGAAGACCATGCGCAGCTTCTGATGCTTTAGATGGATCATCATCTTTGTCGGTACTAGCTTTCTCAAGTTCTTCAACTGACTTTTGAACAAGATTATCAACAAGAGATTTGGATGATTCTTCGATTTGTTTGATTTCTTCGGAATTGAGTTCTTTGTTCGGGTCATCTTCCTTAAGTTGTAATTTCTGAAGGGATGCAAGTGTATCGGCTGCACGTGATGCGGATGAGTCGGCAACTTCATTGATATGTGGATGATGTTGAATTTCATCTTCATCTTCTGGATTATGTTTGAGAGCAAGTTGTGCCATTGCACTGACTGATACTTGTTGAATGATCTTCTCCGCATCTTCATCTTTCATTTCATCTAAGATGTTCTTAACAATTCTGTCAATTGTATCTTTGGCAATTTTAGATAGTAATTCTTGTGTCTGTATTGCCTCCATTTCAGCAGTGAGTCCATTAAATATTCTATTTGCTATATCATTAGCAACTTGTGAAACTTTTTCATCTTGTTGAGCTGATGGTTGAGAAGTTTCCGAGGATGAACCTTCATTCTCAATTTGAGAAGGCTGATTAGATTGTTCTTCTTTAGCTTGTGATTGTTGAATGAATTGTTCAAGATTTTGAGAAGCAAGTTCTTGAACAGCATCAATGAAATCATCCGGAATAACCATCTTCTTCTGAAGAGCAAGCTTTTCTGCAAGAGCTGCTTCTTCTGCACTGAGTGGTGTTTCTTCATTAGAAACATCAACTGATCTTGAAAGAACAAAGTCTGTGAGATCTTCAATATTAACTGCTGGTTCTGGTTGTGTTGATTCGGTCGATGGTTGTGTTGTTGTCTTTGCAGATGATGGAGTTGGTTTTTCTTGTTCAAGGAAGTTCTTGATCTGTTTAGAAAGAAGACTGTGGGCAGCTTCCGCTGCTTTCTCGGGACTCTCGTCTTTATCAGTACTTGCTTGTTCAAGAGCTTCAACGGATTTACTAACAAGATTGTTGACAAGTGCTTTACTTGATTCTTCAATCTGTTTCTCTTCACTTTCGTTAAGTTGACGAGATGGATCATCTTCTTGAAGTTGTAACTTCTGAAGTGATGCTAATGTGGATGCAGCACGAGATGCTGATGAATCGGCAACATCGTTAATATGTTTGTGATGTTCTTCTTCATCTGAATCAACTGGGTTATACTTAAGTGCCAAATCTGCAATTGCACTTGCGGAGACTTGTTGAATGATGTTTTCGGCATCTTCATCTTTCATGTTGGCGAGGATGTTCTTGATAATCTTATCAAGGGCTTCTTTAGCGATCTTTGATAATAGTTCTTGAGTTTGAATTGCTTCCATTTCTGCTGTCAAGCCATTGAAGATACGATTTGCTATATCACTGGCAACTTGTGAAACTTTTTCATCTTGTGATGCTGTTTTATCTGACTTAGTTTCTTCTTTAAATTCGTTAGGGACCAGTTCAACAGATTTGTTCTCTTCTTCTGGAGAGGATTGTTGAATGAATTGTTCAAGATTTTGAGAAGCAAGTTCTTGAACGGCATCAATGACATCATCTGGAATAACCATCTTCTTCTGAAGAGCAAGCTTTTCTGCGAGTGCTGCCTCTTCCGCACTGAGTGGTGTTTCTTCATTAGAAACATCAACTGATTTAGACAAAACAAAGTCAATTAATTTTTCAATATTGTCAGATTTGATTTGTTCATCATTATCTGCTGTTGGTTTGACATTTGAGTGATTCTCACTAGTAGTTGATTCATTTTCATTATCTGGATTTGATGGTTTCGGCTGTTCTAAGAAATTCTTGATTTGTCTCGAGAGAATGCCATGTGCGGCTTCGGCAGCTTTAGTTGGATCTTCTTCTTTGTCAGTACTGGCTTTCTCAAGCTCTTCAACGGATTTGTTAACAAGATTATCAACAAGTTCTTTAGATGATTGTTCGATTTGTTTAACTTCATCTTCATTTAATTCTTTATCTGGTTTGTCTTCTCTCAGTTGTAATTTTTGAAGTGAGGCAAGTGTATCAGCGGCACGTAAAGCGGTTGTTGTTGCGACATCATTAATATGTGGATGATACTTTCCTTGCTCAACATTGACTGGATTATGCTTGAGAGCAAGTTGAGCCATTGCACTTGCTGAAACTTGTTGAATAATCTTTTCTGCATCTTCATCTTTCATTTTAGCCAAAATATCCTTAACCATTGCATTGATTGCTTCACGAACCATTTGTGAAATTAATTCATTCTCGTGATAATCATTCAATAATCTATCAACAAGACTCTCGGCTAATTTCGATCCGATATCACCAATCATTTGATCTTCTAAAGCTTTCATTGCTTCATCTTTAGATAATCCATCCGCTTTATCACCAAGTTTATCTTTGATTTGTTCATCAGTTATTTCTTCTCCGAATTCTCCGAAGTCGATATCTCTTGATATTACGTCATAATCTTCATCATCAACACTTGGTTTATTATCCATAATGTAATCATAAATGAATTGATCACGATCTTGATCTTTTGGTGATTCTTCGTAAGCTTCTTTAGCTTTTTGTAATTGTTCATTGATGTAATTTATTGATGATTGCCTCATATCAGGATTACTTTCAAGTTTAGATGCCATTTCATTAAGCATTGCATCAACAATTTTCTCAATTTCTTCAATAGGAATTTGATGATGATTGATTTCATCTAATTTTGCAATTGCTTCTTCACGGCATTTATTAAGGAGATTATCAAGATCTTTCTTATTCTCTGGATCTGATTCATTTTCACTTGCAATCTTTGCCATTGCAGCAATATCAAGTAAATCAATCAAATCCTTTGAATTTGCTTTATCTTTTTCGGCTTCAAGTAAATCTGACTTCAACTGATTAGCAATTACATCTTTGAGCTTTGTCTTCAATTCATCTTCTGATGAAACATTACGATGTTCATCTAAAGCCCTATCAGCAAACTTAGTTGTCATTAAAATGACATCTTTCGAAAGTTCGTCATCATCAGCAATTACAACTAAAGCAAGATCTGCAGCTGCTTTGATTGATTCTTTAGCTTGTTCTACAAGTTTTGGATCATCAGGATGTTGAGAAACGGCTTGTAAAGATGTTTTAGCTACTAATGAAACAGAAGCAACAGCTGCAGCATTAATAGGAATACTTGATTGTGATTTTAGATCTGAAATAACATTTTCAAGTTCTTTGTTATCAACAGCTGAAATTGAATCTTTTACAATTGATTCAACTGATTTATCTTTGTTAGAATTAACAGCAGATAAACAATTATCAATTGCGGAATTTAATATTGATGCAACAACATTTGTTGGAGCATCCTTATTAATATTTGCAATGAAATCATTAATCAGATCTTGTGATGACAAATCATCTGGATTTTGAAGTTTAGATAAAGCTTCATCAGTTAACTTCAAAACTTTTTCGTTTTCATTTGAATTTGCCAAACATAAATCACGAGCCTTTTCTAAAGCGATTTTTGATTTTTCTAATGAATTTGGTTGTTCAACCAAAGCCAAATTACTTACTAGTCCAATAGCGATAGTTGGTAATGCATCAAGTGTTTCGTTATAATGGTATGTAACATCAGGAATCATCATATCAAGAATTTCAAATGCTAATTTTTCAGGAACATCATCATTATTTATGATGCTTTCTTTTACAGCATTTTCTTTGTTTTCTGATTCTAAAACTGCTTGATCATTTAATACATCATCAATTGCGTTGTTAGCGAATTGATTTAATGCTGGTTCAAGTCCTTTAAGCTGAACTGCTGATAAAACATCTCCAACAGCTTCTTTTGCCAAATCATGGAATAAATCTTCATTTTCTTCAATGTCGACATCTTCCATTTGTTGGGAAATAATATCATCTAATTTAGATTCATCTAAATCCTTGAATTTGAGATTATCATCTTTAGATATATCTGTTAAAACTTTGGATATTAAATCTGTCACTTTTTGTTTATCATCTTCTGGAGAATTTTCCATTTTTTCTTGGATGTTTCTGTTTACAATTACTTCTGCTAATTGACAGATCGGTTTTCTTTCATTTTCGAATTGTTCGAAAAGATTGGCAAGTAAATCTGGAGATTCTTCAACTGGTGAATTATCAATAATATCCTTTAATTTCTCTTTTTCTTCTTTGATTCTTAAATCAACAATTGAATCTCTTAATGGCTTGGAAACTTCTTTTTCTGATGCATTTGTTAATCCTTCCAAATAAACCTTCTCTGCAATCTTTGGAATTTCGTTTTCTTCTTGAGGAATTTCTCTTGATTTTATGACATCATTAAATGCTTTTTCTGCAACATCTGCTAAATCATCTTTATCATTATCATGGACTTTATTTGCATCAAGATTTAATCTTTCATTTAATTCATTTGTCATTTCATCTCTCTTTCTTTTTTCTTCTTTCAATCTTCTCTTTTCTTCTTTTTCTTTTCTCTTTCTTTCTTCTTCTTCCTTCCTCAATCTCTCCTCTTCTTCTAATCTTCTCTTTTCTTCTGCTTCTTTGGCAGCGATTTCGGCTGCTTCGTCATCTAAATCTGCTTCTTCAGGAAGAGTTAATGTATAAGATTCGAAAAGAGAAACAGGAATTTGTGATTGAATTGAAGGAAATTCTTCTGTTTTGTTGAATGGATCAGAATTATCAAACAAAGGAGAAACTTCTTCCATTGTCTTTTTGTTTCTCTTTGTTACATGATTCACAGGTGATTTTGATCTCTTTAATTTCGGTGTAAATTCTAATTTTGGAATTTCTTTTGTAGCAGAAATTTCATTATATGAATCATATCTTTTATGAACTATTTCTTGTGATAATTCAAATGGTAACTTGATTTCATAAATCATGTTTGTCAATGCACCATTTGATTCACCTCCAATGCAAACAATTTTGTCATTATTTGCCAAAATTGCTGCAAAACGAGAAATGATTTCAGGAACATTTCCTAACTCATTTACTGATATCAAACACTTCTTTTTGAGATCAACAAACTGTGCTTGAGCTTTCTCTGATCCACCTATTATCACCATTATGTCATTTGCAACAATAGAAACATGGTTTTCTCTTGGAATCAAACCGTTGATGTCAATATTCATCCATTTGTTTCTTCTTGGAGAATACATCAATAATTGGTTTGTTACACCTTTATTTGTTCTTCCTCCGAAGATATACATGTGTCCACCATGTTCTACAGTTGTGTGGTTTGTTCTTGGTTCAGGAAGATGTTCTGTAATACTTGCAACTGTTTTTTCAACAGGATTAAAACGATAAAAAGTGTTTTGCGGAATTCCTTGTTCATTTTCACCACCAAAAATGAACAAATTGTTTTTAATTGAAACGGATGTTTGTCCTTTAAGTGGCTCGAATCCTTTGCCTTTAAGAACAGCAACTTTGTACGTATTCATTGTTGGTTGATACTGGAAAATTCCTCTTGTGCATGGACCGTAAATTTTGTCACCAATTATTGATAAACAAAAAGCTTTGAAAGAAGCTTTTTTAATTGGCATTTGTGTCTGAGAAACTTTGTTATCTTCCAAAGAAATAGTAATAAGTTCAGAAGAAGTTTCTGTTCCATTGAAAATGTAAACGGAATTTCCAAAAACAATGGCTTTGTTGTCTGCCATTTCAGGAATGTTTTTGTTAGTAACAAATGGCTCCCAAATCATATTCTTCGCTGTAATGTCTTTCTGTTGTAAAGATCTGGAGATTTGGACTTCTCTAAGTTTGGAAAACCATGTTTTTTCTTCGTTTTCGGAGTGAAAATCGACAGTAAAAACATATCCACCTTTTTTCTTCATTAAATACGATTTCTTAGGGAAAGAAATGGAAATGGAATGTTGTGCAGCTGAGTTCCTTTTATATACGAATTCCAAAACAGGGGAATCGTAAAAAACTTTGGATGTTTTTGACAATCTTTTGACCAAAACAATTATATCATTAAAAATGATAAAACTGCCTGGTCCTGGTCCGCTTTTGTCTCCAGAGATGATAACTGGTGCGGAATGAATGAATTTACGACCTTCTTGGAGAAAATGGAAGTTGTTTTGGATAGATGTGTTGATTTTGACTAATGAAGACTGATTTGCGACTTTTTCAATCATTGAATCGATTTCAGCGGTCATTTGGCCAAACTCTGTCCTTAATGGTCTTAAATACCTAAAATCTGGATGCAATCTTGGTGTTAATGGTGTGATATCAATTAAAAATTTATTATATGCTTGGCTATGAGTAATTGGTAAAGCAAGTAATTCGACAATATTGATTTCCTCTGATTTTGATAATGTATATGCAACGTTTGGCTTCGAAAGGAAAGAGCAAACTAAATCTAACAATTGAGGATACTTTTCGACGTATTTTACGACATTACTAAACTTCGACGAGAATTTTCTGAATGGTAATAATACTTTGGAAGAATAAGATGTTCCACTTTCAAAGATTTGGTTGTATAAATCGGAAGAAGCATGAAGAATCTCTTCAACAGGATCAAAAATAGTAGAAATGTCTTGCTTTGAAAGCATTTGTCTCGTTTCAATCTCTGATTTCCATGTGTCGAAAAGTTTTTGAATCTCGTTATCGAAATTTTCTTCTTGATCAAGGAATTCTTGTATTAAATTTGCGCGCTTTTGTATGAGTTGGCGAGATGGTTCGTCAAGAACACCTTTAAATGTGATTTGAGAGATTTGAGCTTGGTCTAAAAGATCCAAAAGAGAACTCTCTGGATCAATTTCTTCTTCGTCAGCAAGAATTGTAGCTGAATCAAATCCGAGACCAATCATTTTAATGATTTTATGCGCTAAGTATTTTGCTTTTATCGAAAGAAATTGCGTGTATTCAAGCCATACTGTAAATTCAGTGAGATCTTCTAATTCTTCGATCTCTGGCTGTATGTGTAGTGCTATTTGAGTAGCTCGTTCTTGTGGTTGAATGCTCAATGAATACTCTGGAATTTCATCTTTATCTGGTTTTCCAGAAACAACTACAGGAGATTCGTCGATATCCAGAATGAAGTCTGATTCAACCCTCATATCGAAGAATTGTTGATTCATAAATAAAACATAATCTCTTTTATTTAAATATTCGAGGATTTCTTTTTCATTTTTGCCTTTTAATAGATCGGCTGATATAGCTTCAACGCCTAGTTCGCTGTTCAAAAAGCAAACGTAGTGCATTGTCGCCATAAAATTTCTAAAATTTGATTGAGCATTCAAATAATTTTACATCTCAAACTTTATATTTTTAAAAGATATTTGTTTCATTTGTTTCATTTCTTGCTTAATGTAAGGGAAAATGCCTTAAATTCTCCGGCTATACAATATCGAAATTTGAACATTTGTTGAATAATGGTATTCTGGCGTTCTCAGATATTTTTCTTGTTTTCTGATCAGTTAATAACTAATGAAACAAATTTGAAGTAACATATGTTTTAATTTTTACGAATTCATTACCTTCAACGTAAACTTATTCATAATATTGGCTAAGAAATCCATCTAAAAATGCATCAGGAAAATGTTTATGGTATATTTATTTCACTTCACAAAACCAAATGCAAATTAGTTACATTGATTATGAAACATACGCTAAAAATTTCAATAATTGGTATAATGATGATTTTGTACATCATTGCTAAGAAAAATATATAACAATTCATTATATTGAAGGAAAAAATATTCAAATTGCATGATTAACTCATTGATATAAAGACATTCTCGGATCTATGTGTGATCATTAAAACCATCAACATATTGAAAAGACCTAATAATATTATCGCGTACTACTTTTAAAATTTTATTCAAAATTAAACAAAGAAAAAAAAATATAAGAAAAGAGATATATAATCTAAATGAGTGAAGAGAGTTCGTTAATTAATTCTTCTGTAATAACCGGTAAAATGACTTTTGTTTCTGGAGGAACAAATGATTTTTTGTCAGTTACAAGGTTCCACTTCTCTTGTAAGTCCTTATCTGAATCAATAAACCTTCTAACTCCTGGTTGTTTATCGAAAATAATTGGGAATGGTTTGAATGTATAGTTTGGTTGTTTCAGAACTAATTGAACTCTTGCGAAAACTCTCAACAAATAAGGGTGAGTAGATCTAATTCCCTTGAGGTATTCACCCTTCATTAATATTGCAAGAGTTACGAAATTAGTGAAATCTAATGATTGGTCGCATTCGATGAGCATTGCGATCAAATCGATAATTGGTTCTCTTTCATCGATATTTTCGAGAGTTGTTTGAACGTATTGTGCCAAGAAGTTCATAATTCTTTGTTTCGTTTCTTGATCAAAAGAGTTATAAACATCTTTCGCATTCGACCTTTCTGTTATACTTGAAGGATGAATTGGGAAATTATCAATTTCAAACAACTTCAAAAGCGGACAATCATTTGGAGCAATCAATTCTGGTATTCTCAAATCGACCTTTCTTATAACATCAAACCATAATTTCCTTGTCTCTTTCGTGATGATCGAATCAATCATCAAAGGAAGGAATCCAGGGAAGTTTTCTGGAGGATCTCCAACATCTCTAAATGTCTTTGAAAACGTCTTAGAAACAACAGCTAATGCAGAAGCAATAATGAACACGCTTCTATCATCTCTGTAAGAAAGGAAAGAAACTGCATCCCAGAACTGTTCTTTGTTTGGAATTCCTATTGATATCAATGACAAAGAAGCTGAAATTGTCTTCATTCTTGGTAACAAATATTCATCATCCAAATTCTCACCTGTTCCAATTTCGTAAGCTGCATATTTATAATCACCAGAAACATCATCAGGACACATTGTATCAATGTGTTTTCCTAACAATGACAAAGCCATACTTGAGATCGTTGAATCAGGAACTCTTGCCCAATCCATGATCAGCTTTGTCATCATTTCTTGATCATAATTTGCAGCGAATTTGTCTTTCAACAATTTCGATGGAACACCTGCAACATCTGCAGCTGCAATCACATCATTGATGCATGCATTTGCAACTTTGACGGCGCTTGGAGGTGCTCTGTTCAATGCATCAACTGAAAATGAAATGACACGCTTGAATCTATGCGAATCATTCAAAATACAGAAGAAAGCAGGAGTAGAAAACCTCGATGCAGCAACAATTGTTGCGACAGGAGCTTTGACAATCAAGAAAGCGAAAACTTGATGAACAGTTTCAACATTTGTATCAATCATGTTGTACAAATAGCTGAAGAACAAGTCGAATGCGAAAGATGACTGACTTGTAATCATAGAGATCGCTTTGTTAACTGCAGAACTTTGTGGAACTTCGCATAACAATTTAAAGAAGTCTATTGGTCTCAATGTCTTGAACAAATCATATGTCTGGCTTGTAACAGAATCAGAATCTGGAGAAATTTGAACATCATTGAGCCATGGAATGATCATTATAACAAGACGAGTATTATATTTAGACATCTTCAATGATTTGCAGATAAACTGTTCTCCGCAAAATGACATCATTTCTGACAACATTTGGGAACATTTAAGTAATTCAATTTCCAAAACAACACTTAATGGTCTTGTTAGATATCTCTTCAGGATTGTCATCTGCTTGAAGATTTGTGCTGTCTTGGTGACATCCATTGGAAGCAGACAAGTCAAGCAAACTGCGACTAAAACATCCAAAGCTTGTGGTTTAAATGATTGGTCGCAATCGTACATCAAATAGAATAATGATAAAGCAATCAAATCTCCTGCATGTGAATAAATAAATTCTGAGAAATGACCACTTGGAGGACCTGCAACAGAGAACTTCCATTGGTTAAAGTATTCATCAGGTTGGCCAAAATGAGTGAACATTCCTCCGAAAGCAGCAAAGAAATGTGGTTTCGTTTCACTTTGTTCTAAGAATAAATCTGCTTTCGCTTCAAATGCCCATCTATAAATTTGTGGTAACAAACTTGAGCTCGTGATCAAGTCGTTTTGAAGCATATCGTTAATTGCTTCTTCACTTGGTGGCAAAACTGACATAACCGCTTTATAACAGTCAATTATCAATTCCCAGTTTTGTGTGTTAGAACTTATAATCTTTGAAAGAATGTCATACCACGAGATACCTTCACAGTCGTAGTTGACTTTCGGTAAAACTGTTTTCTTTCTTGGGAATGGTGAATGTGTATTAATCGTCATTTCATTGTAGAAACGACTGAAAACCGTTTTTCCTGTCAAAAGATTATAAGTCAACGCCATAATGTTTGCGTCATCTTCTTCAAAACTAGTATAAATTTTTTCAAGCATCTGGTTCACGTAAGGAATCAACTCTTTGTTGTCTTTGTGTTCTGACACCAAAAGTGACAATCTAAATGAAGTTGGAACCATTAAACCTTTCAGAGGTATCATGAATGTCGGAATAGTGCATGGATGGATGAAAGAGAACAAAGCGACACCAATGGATTGGTTGTCAGTCTTGTACTTGAGAATCTTTGTTCTCCAGAATTGTTCCATGTTCACTAAATCAATGTTTTCTGGTTTAATGACGTTGACAACAAAAACAATGATGTTTTGGAGGAATATTGTGTCGCATGGTCCAATCTCAAAGAAATCAAGGCATTTGAGTAAAAATGACAAAATTTCTCTGTCATATTTTTCGAAACTCGATGCGTAACTTGCCAAAAAGAACTGGTAAATGTTGTTGTAACTTGAAACAGCGAAATCATTGAAATGATATAACTCGCTTGACAAGAAATCCAACAAATAAGACTTTTGGGCAGTGATAGATGGCTTCCTAGTCGATAATTCTTCGTTATTCCAGAAGTTTTCGAATGGTTTTGGACCGATAAATGGCTCGGCCAAGTGAAGTAACTTTATCGCTTCACTTCTTATGTAAGAAAATGAAGAACATAAACCGAGAACACCGATTTGTACAATAGGAACAATCATCTCTTCTTCTCTTGGCAGTTTCATGTACACAGCGCTGTCCAAAACTTGTTCCATCGCGTAGACAATTCTGAATAAATGAGCGATTTCTATTGTCGGACATTTGAAAACTAAAGGAGTAATTGAACAAACTAAATCTTTGAGGATCTGGTCTTGTCGATGGAGACAAGCTTGCAATGTGTGAATTGCCATAGCAGCAATCTCATTCGATGATGACAAAATAAATGGTGGAATGTATTGTACTTGGTCTTTCTTTATCTTTGTAAATATCCAAATGTTCAAAATTCCAATTGGTCCGTCAAATTTTCTCGCGGCTTGCTGTGATGAATATCCTGATGCAAGCAGTGGATGGGGAACGTAATGCTCGAACAGTTTGTTCTCTATTGTACGTGAGCCGAGTCTGTCCCATCTCACTTTTATGATTTTTCCGGTGATGCATTCTGGAGGCATCGGATGCGAAATTTTCGGAAGAACTTGGAGGAAGGAATTCAATGGCATGTCGGTGGTTTTGATCGCGGAAACAAGGGATTGGACAAGAAATAGCTCGGCATTCATCGGAGCTAAAGAAATCGTGTTTTCTCGGATAAATCGTTTAATTACTTCTTGGGCGGACTTCTCAATAACATCCATGAGGTTCTTATTGCCAAAGAATGCGGATCCATGCACCAACATTGCGGTTGTCGATGCTGTAAATGCAAGATGATTATTATTTGCAAATAATGAAGAGGCAACAACAGAAGATCTGACTGTAAAGTATGCGCTAAGGTCGTATGATGCAAGTTGTACAAAGAATTTGGATAATTCGTTCTGTGCGTCAATGAAATATCTGACTTTTTGGATGGCGTTATCCAAAGCACTAAATATGGTGGTGAGAGGGATCTTACGCTTCCCTGGTGGCCTTTTTGGCTGCTGAGATCGCTCTAAACTGATCTCTTTGTTGTAATTCGGACCTGCAAATAAAATGGTCAAAGCTCTGATGAAATTTTTGGCTCGTAATGGGTAATTGATAAGTGGTAGAAGACTTTTCTCTATGAATTGAGTCATTTTTTTCGTAGAATCGTTGGTATAATATAAAATCATTGCCTGGATTTCAGGAACAGGTAAAGGAATCTCGAATTGTGATAGGCATTTATTAATGAATTTTTGTATTGGTTTTAGGAAGTTAGTTACGTCTAATTCGTCTGTATAAATTGATAAAGTGCTGCAAAGATAAGCAAGTATGAATTGGCAAACGGTATCTAGTAACTGGAAGTTGTTCTTATTATTTTGAAGAACTTTTGAGATTTCGGTGAGATTTTGAGAAAATTTGTCTAATTGCTTGATTCCAATTTTACTTGGATTAAATCCGGTAAAAACTCGAAGGTTTAAAATTGATGTCATGATAGGATTTGTCATTGTCATTTTCATTGCGGCAGTTAAAGTCTCATGTGCATGATCTGTAACGAATGGAGTAATATAATATAAAGCGCGAGACCAGTGGCTTGCTGAAATCATCGAAACTCGTATAATATAGGTATTATCTCTTGAAGCAAAGGCATGTTGGTAAAATAATCGATATAATGCTTGAATCATTGACTGAAAGTCATTTCCATCTCTATATCTTTCTTCATCCATTCGTGTTGTTACTGCCGAAAATAGCAGTTGCAAAAAAGTTGCAGCTAATATTTCGTTCATGCACTGCAAACAATACTGCACGTCAACATTAATTATATCAGCTGGATTTATCCATGATATGTATGTTATTTCTTTTGGTATTTTGTAATCCGGACTCAACGATATTTGGGGTAAGGAAGAAATAAAGATCTGTGCACTTTGAACTGGATCAACTAATGCTATTTCAGCTACGTGATATAAGATAGCTGGAATTGAGTCGTTTGTATTGAAAAAATGTGTTAAATAAGAATTAATTGTGTTAATTTTGTCGATTTCGCCCATTCCATCAATATTCGGACGATTATTAATAAGAATTTGTGCTGTTAATGATAAAGATGAGGAGAGTGCTTGAACTTCTTTCGCAATGATGGATTGGGAAGTCATCAAAATTTCAGCACTGACAAAAAGTTTTTTTTTTCGAAATAAAAAAAATTATGAAAAAAAAATTAAATTATTCATTAAAATGTGTTTTTGTTTAATATGTCTGCTTTATAGTTAAATTTCATACGAAACATATTGAAAACTCATGAAGATTTCGTGAATCAGAAATATTTGAGATTTATTTCATAGATCTTATAATCAAATGAAGTATAACATTGAAAATAGTGAAAATAATTCATAAAATAATGGTATATGTTGATGTCACCAACCATCTGATTTTGAAGGTTGATGTAGCATTCACTGAAATTTAATTGAGATCTTTATAATATCACAGAAACAATCAGATATATTTCATTTGATGTCAGCATTTCATTTTGGCAATTCAAAAGTTATCTAAGAAATTAAAAATGAATCTGATTTTTGACAATTTTGCCATTTATTCTTTCAAAATTGGCATTTAACCGTTTTGGTAATTCAAAATAGAAATGTTGTTGTTTTTTGATCTCTTTTGTCTTGCTACTAGTTGGGATGTTCTTGGATTACCATGGGAAGATAAACTTGGGCAGATGGAGAGAGATTATACAACCACTGACCTCCAATCAATTGTTGATGACGTGGCAAACCAATTTCACATCGAAAGAGACAGGATTGATTCATTCTTTAGGAGTTGCAAATACCATTCTTCAGTTATGCAGATTTTCCACAGATTCGATATGAAAGTTAATAATGACAATATCAGAACCTTATATTATGGTGCCACTGTAATGAAAATTAGGAAGTTTGGAAATACTTATCGTGTATACTTTCATTTTATGAAGATTTTTGAATTTTAAATGCCTGTTGCATCTACATAGGCAAAAAGCTGTGAGATAAATGCCTATTGAAAAGCCAAAACTTCCTCCGATAATTATATAAGTAACACCATTTTTGAATATGAGTTCTAATATGCCTGCCCCTAAAAGTCCACCAGTAACAGCACAGTAAATCGCGGTAAATCCTCCAAGTCCTCCCAGGAAAAATTGAGCTAGAAGAAATACAGCCATTGGAAACATAATGCAGTTAAAAGCAAGTTTCGTTGCCAAATTTAGTTGTTCTAATCCGTTTTGAATATTACAAATAGTTGTTAGGAAATTCATTATTGCATCACCTAAAAATTCGAGCCATTTAGGAGGATGAAGCTTGAAAAATCTACTTGAGACTGCGATGTTTTGAATAAATGTTACGAAGGAATTTATTAAAGAAACAAGAGATATGTCTTCCATTAACACTTTTGTGAACCTGGTTAAAATTTAAATCAAATCACACTTTTGTGTTCCTGATTAAAATTTTTAAAAATCGCACCTTTTGAAACAAAAATAATCGTATGATTGAGAATTATAATTATATCTTCCATTAACTGATTTTATTTAAAAAAAATTATGATATCAGCACTTAAAGATATGAGCTCTCAATTTTCGACCCCCAATATACGTTTATTTTAGTTTCGGCATATTAACATGAAGCAAGAGCCAAACCCTTAAAGACGTGTCCTCTAGTTTTGCCAACTCTTTCATATATTGTAACTATTTTCAGGAAAAAACGCAAATTCAAAATTAGAAATTCACATTTAATCGAGTATAGTATTAAATTACTATCTTTCGTACACGGACCAAGCAACAACTCAAGGTGCATGCTCATTAAAGACAAAATCCCCTCTAGTGCACTTAAATTGAGTGAGTTAGCACCAAACAAGCCATAAGTTAAAGATCTGAACTTGCTCCAGACAATGTATCACTTTAGTTATGAATGCACCAGAAATCCGTCCCAAACTCATACATTTCTACGCTAATCACGATAATAAATATACTATTTTGTACTTTTTACAATAAATCTCTCTTTGTTACACTACAAAATCAATGTGCATTTCGTTGCACCAGTTTTGAATCTTGTTAAATAATGATTTTTGTTACTTTCATGATACAGTCCCATTTAGTAAACGGATTATTTACAAAATAAAAATAAAAAATATATTTTTTATTTACGATTTTTTTATTTGGATTTTTAAGGCATAATTTAGAAAATATTAATAATTTAATCGATTTGATATTAAGAAAGACATTTAAAATTCATAAAAGATCCAAATAATTTCATATCCAAAGTTATTAATATTTGAAGATTTGAGGAAAGAAAAGGAGAAATATTGCATATGAAATGTTTTAAAAAAATAGAACAGAAATTGTAAAAGAATTTTAATAATTAATAAGATTTGGATGGGTTAAAATTTGTGATGAAACCACCCGATGCTAACTCACGCCACACATACACAGAAGCATTCTATCACGCAACCACCCGATGCTAACTCACGCCACACATACACAGAAGCATTCTATCACGCAACCACCCGATGCTAACTCACGCCACACATACACAGAAGCATTCTATCACGCAACCACCCGATGCTAACTCACGCCACACATACACAGAAGCATTCTATCACGCAACCACCCGATGCTAACTCACGCCACACATACACAGAAGCATTCTATCACGCAACCACCCGATGCTAACTCACGCCACACATACACAGAAGCATTCTATCACGCAACCACCCGATGCTAACTCACGCCACACATACACAGAAGCATTCTATCACGCAACCACCCGATGCTAACTCACGCCACACATACACAGAAGCATTCTATCACGCAACCACCCGATGCTAACTCACGCCACACATACACAGAAGCATTCTATCACGCAACCACCCGATGCTAACTCACGCCACACATACACAGAAGCATTCTATCACGCAACCACCCGATGCTAACTCACGCCACACATACACAGAAGCATTCTATCACGCAACCACCCGATGCTAACTCACGCCACACATACACAGAAGCATTCTATCACGCAACCACCCGATGCTAACTCACGCCACACATACACAGAAGCATTCTATCACGCAACCACCCGATGCTAACTCACGCCACACATACACAGAAGCATTCTATCACGCAACCACCCGATGCTAACTCACGCCACACATACACAGAAGCATTCTATCACGCAACCACCCGATGCTAACTCACGCCACACATACACAGAAGCATTCTATCACGCAACCACCCGATGCTAACTCACGCCACACATACACAGAAGCATTCTATCACGCAACCACCCGATGCTAACTCACGCCACACATACACAGAAGCATTCTATCACGCAACCACCCGATGCTAACTCACGCCACACATACACAGAAGCATTCTATCACGCAACCACCCGATGCTAACTCACGCCACACATACACAGAAGCATTCTATCACGCAACCACCCGATGCTAACTCACGCCACACATACACAGAAGCATTCTATCACGCAACCACCCGATGCTAACTCACGCCACACATACACAGAAGCATTCTATCACGCAACCACCCGATGCTAACTCACGCCACACATACACAGAAGCATTCTATCACGCAACCACCCGATGCTAACTCACGCCACACATACACAGAAGCATTCTATCACGCAACCACCCGATGCTAACTCACGCCACACATACACAGAAGCATTCTATCACGCAACCACCCGATGCTAACTCACGCCACACATACACAGAAGCATTCTATCACGCAACCACCCGATGCTAACTCACGCCACACATACACAGAAGCATTCTATCACGCAACCACCCGATGCTAACTCACGCCACACATACACAGAAGCATTCTATCACGCAACCACCCAATTTGACATTAATTTTTATTAATCTTATTTTCATTACTATATTCAACCAACCAATTTGACATTAATTTTTATTAATATATTTTTCATTACTATATGCAACCACCCAATTTGACATTAATATTCATAAATATATTTATCAAACTTATATGCACCCAACGAATTTTCAAATTCCTATCAACCACTTCTTTATTTTTATATTTTACAATTCTTTTATATACAAATTTAATACAAAGTTTTTATTCACTCATCATCTCTGCTTCTTTATTATCTTCAATCTCATTCTAGCAGCTCTCGCATCTTTTACTTCCTTCATTAATTCAGGCAAGTATTTTTCTAACCAAATTTCTGGTTTATTTTGTAATGCAGATTCATAATTTTTTGATTGTTTTTCCAGAGAATTGATTAAATATTTGGCATCTTGGAACGTTTCAAGATTATAAAGCAGTTTTACGACTAAAACTGCTTTATTTTTATCGTCAATATCAATAAATTCTGCGTATTTTGATATTTCGATCGGCGAACTCTTTTCTTTGTGATCCACGAGTTCATCCTGATCACCTACATTTTTATCGATTGGGAATTCTATGATTTCACCTACGTTTTCTCCTATTTTCATAACATGTATGCCTGCAGAGGGAACATGACTCTTATTCATAAAGAAATCCTTGCAATATTTACAAGGATTCTTATCTGATACGTATTTGATAATATTCTTCACCATTTTGATTTGTTTGATCTGAAATTAAAACATTAATAAAATCTTCGATTGTTAAATCACACGATTTTCCTGAAAAAGCAAAAATATTCGAATATCTTTTATCGCCATTAATTATTGCTTGTATTAATGGTTTAGAAATTCCTGCTTTTGAGTATAATTCCTGGTCAAATGAAAAATTTTGTAAGAAACCTATAACCTGTGCATAAAATTTGGGGCGGGCAATTATAAATGCTTCTAAAAATTTAAGAATATATTGTTCCCCTAGACGATGGATTTTGATTTTAATTTGACTGAGATCTGTTTGCAAATATTTTTCACTTATAATCATATTTACCATTTCTGTAAAAGCTTCGGCGGATTTCTGAAATTTAGGTGTTGTTTCATATGTTTGAAGATACTTTACTTCATCGCTATTCGAGATAAAACGCTCTTTGAGTTCCTCCAAATAACAAATGATAGATTTATTTTCAAATCCAAATAATTTATGTCCAAAATTATATACATTCTTAATATTTCTGTTTAATTCTTTGATTTTTGAAACGATTTGTCC